AAGAAATGTTTGATAACTATCTGGACATTATAAAATTTTGCATGTGAAATTTGAAAATTTTCTGATGCACAGCAGTATTTTTAATCTTAAAATAAAAATTACTTTGTATATTAGACAACGTGTGAAAAGAAACAAAGCATGAGAGAAACATTGCTTTACAAGCCTTATGACTTAATAAAAAAATTAGATATTTTGCATATGAAAGCATTATAATGTTTACTGATAATCTGCCAAATTATGTTAACATACGTTTACTAATTTAAAAGTTATAGCATGAAAACTATAACAAGCACTAAATGGTTATGAGGTCGGTCCCTGGAACTGAGCCTGTGCTGAAAAAATAGTTAATTTGTCCATTTCATGAAAAATTGTTTTTTAGATCTTTCCACTTTCTCCCACATGTCACTTCTCAAGAGGCCTTTCATTCAATACCAGATCTCATCAGTTGGACTGGATAATGAGAAGCAGAAGATTCTCCCAAACTATTTATATATACAGTGTAATCCTATAATTTAGTTCTTCAAAACTATTTATATATACAGTGTAATCCTATAATTTAATTCTTCAAAACTATTTATATATACAGTGTAATCCTATAATTTAGTTCTTCAAAACTATTTATATATACAGTGTAATCCTATAATTTAGTTCTTCAAAACTATTTATATATACAGTGTAATCCTATAATTTAGTTCTTCAAAACTATTTATATATACAGTGTAATCCTATAATTTAGTTCTTCAAAACTATTTATATATACAGTGTAATCCTATAATTTAGTTCTTCAAAACTATTTATATATACAGTGTAATCCTATAATTTAGTTCCATGTTTTTCCATATGAACTGGTAACAGCTTTTAACATTTCACAAGTGTTGTTGTTCTTTTTTTTTGTTACCTGATTTCATACCCAGATGATATAGACTTTTATTTCATCTACAACTGACTTGTCTTGGCCACGTGGCTTGGACTTTGACATGCTTATGAGTCTTGGCTGTACATTTTAGTTCTTTTTGGCTCTTTCTAAATTATATCATGGGCTCATCAAACAGTTTTATCTCCTCTTTTGTACTGGAGGTATGACGTACCTCTTAAAGGTTACTGTTATCTTTATTATGATCTTAATATCTCTCTTGAGATGTATAAATACATGGTTCTTTCTTTAGTTATTTATCATGTTTTCCAACTCTTAATTTAGTCATTGGTCTTTGTTCATCAAGTCTATTGTTTTTCAAGTTGTACTTTAATTTAAAATGCAGGATTATGGCTTTAAAATGTTATATTTAATGTGGAAGTAGAACAAAATATATCATTTAATTTTTTTACAGATTTAAAGCTCTTAACTGTTAAGGAAAACCAAGTTAATGTGACACTTAGTTGTGTACTAAATTGAAATATATTTGGCATTTTACATAAAAGTGTTTCCTGTATAATTCAAACACATGGACTTGGACTGTTGAATAGATTGGTTTACAAATAGATATATTTTCTAAAAAGTATTTAAGTTTTTTTTTAACAGTCAATATCTATATACCTTAAATAATATTTAGTGAATGTATGTTCGTGTAGTGACTTATAGTAAAAGCAAAGTTTGTATTATTCCTACACAGATAAGATGAGTCTATTCATTTATTTCTATATAAAAAATTGTATTGAAAGTCACCCTAAGCTAATAATAAAAAGAATTATGAATTTAAACACTATGGCTACAGTCTTTCCAGCTTGATATTGATATAACATTTCTGTTAACTTCCAGGGCTTTAGACCTTGCTGTCAAACATAAGACCCATGTTGATACTGTTTTGGCATACAGGAAGAAATACTTGGGGAAATTTGAAAAAGAGGAAACTAATCAGAGATTTCAACAGTATAATCAAGAGGTAAGAAACATTTTGTGTGTTTTTTGACTATCCCAGCAGGTAGATTTCCTGTTTAATAAACATTTCTTCACTAACAGTCTTGAATAATGGATATATTCTATTAATGGTGGTTATTTTAGTAATAGTACTTAATGGGTATTTTGTTTTTGAGGTTTACTCTACTATTGATCATTACTGGAGGATTTTTTGGTGTTAACAGTAACCATTCTTAATGATTGTTTTCTGTCTAATATATATTCATTATTGCTGATGAGTGTTTTCTGTTTGGTGTTTATTTCTTAATAGCTGTATGTTTTCATTTCTTAACAGTAATTAATCTGTTGAATTTAAGTTACTGTATTTTTTATTTTTTTGGTATGAAATAGTAATTTACTGATAGCTCCAAACAAAAGCAGCTGTGAAATGAATTATATTTATAGTGTCTATTTATATAGTAATATATTTTTATGTTTAAAATTGTAATTAAATTTTTATTATTTTTTCTAATAGATTAAACCAGACTGGGATCAGATCACTGCTAAAATTGAACAAGAATATCAGAAAGAACGGGAGAGACCAGCTACCAGCAACCGATAACAAGCTAAATCACTGCAAGAATATGAATTTTTTTGCACATATATGCACAACCAGTAATATTAGATTAGTGTTGTTTGGAATGTGAATTTTGTATTCCAATATCATCCATCAGTAACTAAAGAATGAAATTTAAAAGTTGGACTATTTAGTTCAGGGGAGAAACTTTATGAAATGACTATGAATATAATTAATTTATTGAGCAATTCTATCCATAGAAGTGTTTCTAAATAATAAATTAGGTTTTATTCTTTATTTATTCTTCTATGTATGCCTGTTTAAAAAGTTTTGCATTCAACAAGCTTGTTACTCTATATACAGATCTATAGACATTTAGTGCATTCATACAAATTTTACACGTGTTCATCTCAAATAAGTAACAGTTAGTGTTACTGAATATGTAAGTCAAACCAGATGGTTCTGTGAAAGGTAGTATATGTAAAATTGCATTAATTAATAAAAGCAAAGTTTGATAGAAGAGTTAGCATACAGGATCATATATATAAGGTGCATTGAATTTAAAAAAAAAAAAAAGACCCAAAACATGAGTGCTTTCGAATAGTTAACTATTCTTCTTCAACTATTCAAAAGCACTTGAGTTTTGAGTCTTTTTTTTTTTTAATTAAAACAAATCAATATTGTTTCATGCTTATTATGACCAAGTATTTAGGGAACAGTTTTATCTACATGAATGGAAGTAAGAGATAGTAAATAACTGACAATTTGATGGTCTTTACTAACTTTAAAAAAAAAAAACAGTTGCTAGTGTAATTCATTACTAAATTATAAAATCTCAAGTAATCATGTTTTTGCTCTGACTGATAAATTAGAAATATTATCTTATTAGTTTGCTTTAAAAAAGAATTGTTCTTCAAAAGGAAGAATGATATAAGGTTTAATTATTTGACATACCTTGTGTTTATGTCAATAATTCTAAGTTAAAAGTGGGCTTAAATTTGTGATGATGATAAAGTATTACATTATTTTATAAAACAAAGTCATAGATATTAATAATTCTGCTGTAATTATGCCTTTTAAACATTTCAATTATTTTGCATTTTATTATATATTTTGGTTATTTTAAATTAAAAACTAAAGTTGCAAGTGGAATAAGTAGGAAACTAGAGGGATTAATAACATCCATTAATACACTTGTGGTTTGGTGAACCGGAAAGTCTAAACTCTTGTAATATCTGAAATGAAGAATAGACAGTAAAAATACAGTTTTATTAATTGTACAGAGTTCTCTGAACTTAAATTAGCTTTAGTAATTTATATATTTCATATATATATATTAAATTTTTGTGCCATGATTCACCTGAATCAGCATTTTGTAATTGGATGTATGTTTGTTTTGATTGATTGATAAATTATGTCCCTGTCTCCTTGACTTGATTAGTTTGATCTCATGTAATTAATAATCTTTCTGTCTTGTATTTTCACAGTAGAGCCTTTTTTATTGTTATTGGATAATATTTAAAATATAATCTATATATATATATAGTTGCAGGTGTTTGTAGTTTAGATAAATATTGCTATTTAAATTCATTTTAAATGTAGAAAAGATAAGCTGTAGAGATAATATTTGCAATGCTTATCTTTTATCGGTGATCACCAAAAATACAACATGACTTAATTTACATCTTGGTGTGTTTCTGTGGGTTGATGGGATATTATTGTGATTCTCCTGACTTTAATTTTTAAAGGCAAATCTAGTTCAATCAATGGCTTAACTGCAAACACTTTTAATAACATAATAACAACTACTTTGTACAAATTGTCACTGAATAAACTATTGTCTATGACCTGCAGTTGATTTCAGTTTATTTCATATAAAGTATCCATCAAATAATAATTTCTATAAGCATAACTGGCATACTGGAACTTATACAGAAGAGAACTAATGGATTTTGGTCTATCAGAAGAGGATTTAGGAAAGTTTAAAATCAATTACAAATGTTGTAAGTTCCATCAATAAGTCAATCCTTTAAGGCAGGATTTCCAAAACTTTTCTCTGTCCCACACATTTCCAAAATTATCATACTGCCATAGACTACAACAGGCTTGTTTTATTGATGAGTATAAAACTGATAAGGGCATTTAAGGAAAGGGGTCATAGCTTGATTTTATCAGGGATATTGTCAAGAATAAATTGTTGGGATGAGATACTAAGTACGTAACTAGGATTGAATGCCAGG